GTTCCATCATTTTTATATTCTCCTCTATTTTTTATCAGTGTATTCTTTAGAAGCACTTAGTACTTCTTTGATTATAGTTACCACTATATTTTTTAGTTCCGAAATTATTTCTGATCTGATTTCTTCTATACCTTTCTGCAGTTGATTCTTTACTGTCAATACTATTATTTCTGAGATATCTGGTGTGTGATTTCCAGTTTCCTCAGTGCTTCACTGCTACTTAATTACAGCCACAGCATTGCCTGTGGCAATGTGTCCCCATCTGACACCTGCTTCCAGGAGGAAGCCGCCCTTGCCCTCCTGGGCCCCTGAGCTCTTCTCCCTCCTTAGTGCTGAGATCATCCTGAGGTGATAAAGGCTCCAAATTCTTCCAAACTGCCAAAGGGCCAGGTCTCAGGGTCTTACGTAACCCAGCGTTTGTCTGGCGTGAGATCCAGGGCCCCAGGGCCTTGTGGTGACGCAGTCTGCGGAGGAAATCGTGAGCATGTCTACTTGTGAGAGAGGCAAGCACCACCGGCGCCCTGCAAGTCCCCACAGAGCCTCCTCCTTCTCCAGGAGGTCGCGGCTGCTTCCCATAGGCGGCTCTCAGGTGCTTCCTTCCTTCCCCTGACCCAACTCTGAATTCCAGAGATTCAGGAAAGGAAAGGGCAACAATTAAAAATCACCCAGACCAGGAAACGCACTCCAGGGCTGGCCCTGGGACACATGGGGAGGGATTGTATTTATCAGCGTATTGAAATCCACAAGAGTCCACTGCCACCACCCGCTCTGTCTCAAGGAGCCTGTCTGCTTGGGTTCTCCATCCGTCCTTTGTTCTCCATGTGGCCTAATCGTTCCCCTTTCCTCTTTCTCCCAGAATGAACCCAAACGCCTGAAAAAGCAGCTTCCCAAACTCCTGAAACTCTTGCAGCCAGACGACAGGATTCTGATTGTGGGGACAACGCAGCGTCCTTTCGATGCAGAACTCCAATCTTTTTGCAAAGTTTATGAGAAAATTATTTTGGTTCCCAGACCAGACTATGCTTCCAGATATGGCAAGTACCCCAAGCTCACTCCCACGAGGCATACCCGGGGGGGTCAGCAGGGTCTGCCTGCTGGTAGACTAGGCCAGAAGAGCAAGCCAGGCATTCCTGGGACCAGGCCACAGCAAGGCATGCGCACCTGGCCCCAGGTAGACCAGGGGACCCTACACATAGGTCACAGGGGCCTAGGAGCTGTCCCCAGGCCTCTGGCGCTCTCATGACCACACAGCCAGCAGGCAGGCATGGAGGCTAGCAGGGCAAGTGTCACAAGCCATGGTAAGATGGGGGGAGGGAGGTGGCCCTACCTAGCTCGGGACACCAGGTGAGGACAGGGCGCAGCTGCAACCTTGGCTGTGACCACGGAGGTCGGTGCCACAGGTGCCATGCCATGGGCTCCTTGGTGCTTCCTCTCCCGTCCTCTTCTCTGGCCCTCTCTTTTGCCGCCCTTCATCTTTCTCTACTGTTAACTCTCTCACAGACCAAGGTTGAGCGTTGTTGATTAAGGGGCCAGAGCTGTATTCTTGACTTTGGATCCAGTTTTGGTTTCTATTGCTTGAAAAAGCTGTCAGCCTTTTTAAAAAGGAGCCCTTGGTGCTTGATGGAGACATTTTATTCTGACAAAGTGCCATGCATCTCAGAGAACTTGGAGCATGTCGCAGCCTCTGACCTGAGCCTCCTCGCAGCAGCATGAAGGCAGAGCAAGGAGACGGTGTCCCCTTCCCCATGGGTAGGCAACGAGCCTGCAGGAAGCTCTTCTCATGGCCCAGCCTCCACCCACCACACGGCATGCTTTCTGCACACTTCAGCCTGGGCAGCCCACCTGCTCTGGCCACCACTCTTGCTAGCACCACAAACGCTGCCCAGAGCTGCTCGCAGTCATCATGAAGCTTTTCAAGCCCCCACAGCTAGGCCACCCATCTCAAGAATGGCTGTCCTTGCGCAGCTGTGGTCACAGTGGTCTCTTCCAACCCACTGAGCATCAGCGGCAGACCCTGTGCCACAGGTGCTTGGCTGTGTATCTACCAGCGCCTCAGCTCCAGAGGTATCCAGAAATACTCGCCATCCTGTTGGCCGAGGCCTCTGGACTTCCTAGGGAAAGGACAGTCCCACAAGGCCAGGCACGCCAGCCCGAGGACCCATGGTCCTTAGGTTTCCTCAGCATCTACCAGCTTGCCCCCAAATCCAACTGTCTCTGCAAAGAAAGTCCACCAGCCCAGGCTGCTGGAAACTTCGTCTGGCCCCCAGGATCCTGTGTGCCACTCTCCTCTGCACTCTCCCAATGCCCCGGGATCTGTCTCACACATGACCCAGTTCCTCACAGGACCCACCAAAGCCCACACTCTGATGGGAGGAGTCCAGTGGTATCTTTGGATGTGGCTAGAACTCAGGGCTCAGAGGCCTGGATGCTCGCCCGAATCCTATCAGTCACTTGGTGTGAGATCCCAGATCCCGTGGGTGCTAATGCTGTCGTGTCAGGGACTCACCAGGATGGAACTAACTGGGAGTGGCAGCAGCAGACAAGGAGGGTCAGATTGTTTTCAGTCTGAAGAATAGGAAGAGGATCAGGCATGGTGGTGCATACCTATAATGCCAGCATTTGAGAGGCTGAGGCAGGAAAACTGCTGGGAGTTCAAGGCCAGCGTGGGCTACGTAGTGAGGTCAGGGCCATCCTGGAATACACACTGAGAGCCTGTTCCCCCACCACCCCAATAAAACAGAAAAGGAGAAGGGGAGGGCAAGGGGCAGGAAGGAGGGAAAGAGAGTATAGATCAGTCTGAAGAAATGAAAAGCGAGGAAATGAGGTACCGCGTTCAGACCTGAGGTTCCCTCCACTGCCTTCTGCACACCTGGCCAGGGTCCGCATCCGCACTGGCCCTGCCTCTGCCAGCACTGCTGTGTGTGTGTACGTCACATGCTCGACAACAGACATACCAGTTGTCCCGCGGTGGTGCTGCCTAGTGACTGTGCTGCCTCTGGTTGTCACCATGGGTTGTATGTCCTGATTTCTTTCTTTCTTTCTTTCTTTCTTTCTTTCTTTCTTTCTTTCT